TAATAGTGTTTTTTAATGTCCTGATTTTGGGGGTGTTAACCCACAAGTGCAACGTAACAACAACACTTCCTTGCATGTGGGGGATACTCAAAACAGTAAGCTCTCTCTGACAGGTCAGCTCTGGCTGGCCCTGTAGTAATTTCTACCAGTGACACAGCATTATATAGCACTCACATAGTTCTATTCTCCTGCCGAGATGCTTATTTGTCTGAAAGTATTGTAAGATATGATCTTTAAATATTTCCCCATAGTCTCAGTTTTATGATATGAATGCTACATTTCAAATCAATTAGATTTATTAAGAGGCCAAATTCTGCTGAAGAATTTGCCAAGATAATTTTCAGTGATGTCATTGAGTTTAGATGAGGCTTTTCATTTTCTATGTGTTCCCTCTTCTTTCTTTCTTCTTCCTTGCTTATTTTCTTATCTTTTTCTTCTACAAAATGCAATTTAACCTCCAGATTAGCATTTCTGTTTTCAGCAGGCAGTTCACTATTCAGGTGCCTGGGTACTTAAATATCTGTCAAAATTGCTTGGTTCAAGTTTTTCTGGACCAGTTTCAGTGTTCAAAACTAGAAATATACTCAGTTAAAAAAAAAAAAAAGGTAAGGTGCCTTACTCTCAACTCCTTCCTCTCTTTTCTTTTGTGTGAGTGTGTGTGGTTTGTCTTCCTATGCTTCTTATTTGTCTCTTGCTCCTCTCTGGCATCTTTTCACCTTCCCATCAGAGTCTTCCTTTCAGTTTGTTACATTCTGTTCATTTTTTTTTCACGTTTTTGTGAACTTTGAAGAGAAGTTCTTCTGGCTTTTATTTTATTTTATTTTTATTTTTTTTGATGATCTTATCTACAGACTTCTTCCTTCTAGCTTTTTCTTCAGTGAAATAAAAATTTATTTCACTTCCTTTTTCTGTATTAAAAAGGCAGAGAAAAAGCTCTTTTCTGTTTTATAAATAAATATTAATTATACTGAAGTAAGGAAAGCTAGCTTCATAGTACAGCATTAAAGCCAGTGCCTTTCTCTGTGTTTCAATTTCTGTTTTGAATAAAACCACAATTTCAAGCAAAGATTTGCCTAAGAACTTCATTTCAAGAAATTATTGTTTTTTAATTAAAAGCTCATATTTTTTAGTGTATCTCTGGTTTGAATCTAAGGTTTTATTTGTGTTTTTTCTTCTGTCGCACATATTAATTACTATTTTTGCAAACAAATGGCTCCATAACTTAAGGTAAACAAATGTTTTCTTGAAAAATATCCGATGAGAATAAGATTGCTATATTTAATCTCTGAAAACTCAAGGAAGGTAGTTACTGATCTAGGAATGCCAAGTTCTCCTCTCTTTCAGTGGGGTTAAGGTTTATTTAATCTGATGTTTTTATTTTTCATTCATTTGCAGTTGATGCAATGGAAGGTGAGGCTTTAGTTATAAAATGTCCCCGATGGAGTTCATCTGTAAAAGTCACCTGGTATCACATGGACACTAACAAAATAATTCCTGCAGAAGAAGAGGGGTCACGAATATTTTCCTTTAAACAATTTCTTTGGTTTCTGCCAAATTCTAGAGAGGATTCTGGAAACTACGCCTGTGTTACACATTTGTAAGTGCAACGTTGAAAAGTGAAAGGCACAAGCCTGAACAAAAAAAGGTTTTAATAACACACTCTAATTATTATCTGTGGAAATGATGGCATTTTTTCATGGCGTACACCAATTCATGTAACTCTTCATTCTGCAATTGCTATTTTTATGACAGGTTGTTAAAAATCAATCTGACTGAACTACAATAACCATCCATATGTTTATAAAAACAAAACTTACATTTGTTACAAACACTTAGTTCATTCCATATAAAAATACTATCATTAACATACCTTTATTCCATTTTTAAAGCTCAAATAATCGCACAAAGTCATTCAACATGAGTATGCAGGTGCATCCATACAAGCAAGGAGTATGTTTTCCAAGTCAGATTCGTTACCCAAATGACACTGGAAGAGGAAAAATTGTTTGTCCTACAATTGACAATTATAAAAATGCTACTATCATCCAGTGGTATAAGGTAAATAAACCCCTGATAGTGCTAGTTGTAGATCAAATTACTGTGAGAAGCCATTTTCAGCCAAATAAAGGAATTTTTATTTTCCAGGACTGCAAACCTCTTCAGGGAGAGAGGTACTTCAAGGGAGAAAAATACATTTTTATTAACAACCCAAGCAAGGAGGATGATGGTTATTATACTTGTCAATTTACCTACACTCATAAAGGAAATGTGTTTAATGTGTCAGCAACAAGGATTTTTATAAGTAAGGGTAAGAGTCATTTTGTAACTGGCAAAGATAAGAAGGACTGCTGTCTACTCAAAGCAAAGGAAGCTTCTTTTGCACGTCAAAGAGAAAAAGAGTTTTTGTTGGTTTGCTTATCTTCTTAATGAAACTTTAAATGGGCTTTTTTAAGGTGAGTTTTGTTTATGAGGATCCAAATGGAGCAAGACAGAGGTGAATTCAGACCTGGTCACGTTCAGCTTCTTGCTGGGTTTCAATTGGCACACAGGCATCCAAATTGACAAAAGCCTTTGTTACATCCAGGCAGATTACTTCATTTTGAAGTTAATCTGACTTTCTTTTGAAATCAGAAAGAAGGAATTGCAACATAATATATGAAATCTGAGCTGGGTCTGTCATGTCAGCTCCAGTTTTTACTAAATTCAAAGGACTTAATGACAACTTCTTTGAGTTTTTATCAGCCCTTAAAATTAGTGGATGATAATATTGGCTTATGACGTACATTCCTGTTACCTTGCAGATGAACACTGACCCAGAGGACCTTCTGCCTCTGAATGCTGGCAGTTAAGAGCTTAGCATAGTCAGCTAGCTAGGAAGTTACTAACTTTCTCCTGACTTCTTTTTTACCAGATCCAGCTAGTGAAAATTAGAAATAGTTAGGATGGATACAGAGAATTGCTTTTCTGGCAGCCTGGGAAGCAGTGAGTTAAATGAGTTCCTGCAGATTTTTTAGGGAAATGTGGTTATGGGTTTCACAGAGGTGACTTGAGATGGAAAAGCTTAATGACAGAAAGGATAGAAAGCAGTATTTTTGGAGTGGTAAATATGAGATAGCATAAAGGACAAGAAAAGAAGAAAGGTACATCAAGGGGAAAAAATCTGAAAGACTTGAATACCTAATTCAAGATAAGTGGCTGGATGTAGTTTGAACCTGTCCATCACAAGTATTAGTGGGGATGGAAAAGAAATATGTCAAAGAAAAAGTAGTATTCCTTCTAAAAGGTAATGATAAAGGATGCTCAATGTCATGACAGACTCGTGTAATGGGAAGCAGTTGTATGAAGCAACAGTGTGCAGAGAGCAGAAAGAGAGGTCTGGGAACCAGACGTGCTCAGCTGTCAGACTGCAGAGGTGGGGGAAACAGAGGAGAACACTGGCAGGCAGCTGTGGGCTGCAGAGTCCCCAGTTCAGATATTGTATGAAAGTGCATATTTGTTTTTTCATATCATGGATATGAGTAATTTCTCAAATGTCTGAAGGAATTTCTTTGTCTTTTTTAAAAAACAAAATAAGCAACTGAGAAAACACACAAACCTATAACTGCATTTGCATGGTTTTTTTTTTTCACTCAGCAGCTAAAACGTTACTTGAGTAACTAAAACATTTCCTTGCTCTTTATGTACAAAGACAACAAACAAATGGGGAGAAAATGTTTGAACTATTAACACATACAGACTCTCTAGGGGTATTTGGTCCTAGGAATCAAAGCAAGTGATCCCAACAGACATGTGAAACACTGTTGTAGTGTTAGTTTGCAATTCTGCTTTGGGATCTTAAAATATTAACTGTACAAACTATAATCATTATCTTACAAAACACTTTTTCACAATTTTCTAATATGTCCTTTCTTTCCCTTCTTAATTTCTGAAGTAAAACACTCACCTCTACCACCTCAAATTTTATTTCCAAAAGATAAAGATGTAATAGAAGTGGAGCTTGGTAAGTACAGATTTTAAATTGCTTTTAAATTAACATTTCATGATGACCTAGAGAACATGGGGATCTTCAAGAAGATTTGATGATAGAATTTTTCATTATGTTTTTGCACTATAATGTTTTCCAGATCTAATTCACCCCAGGTACAATGATGTGAAGTTAGATGTAATTAATGGGTTATTTTTACCGATAAATATTAAGAAGCAATTTAAAGGGAATTTAAATACCCCATTCTACCTTGCTGGAATAGGCTAGGATTACTTACATGGTCAATTATTACATCTCAGCTGAAGCAGTGACAGCTTCCATCCACTTCAGAGAGGGCTTTAGCTAAATTCCTTGAAACTGCTTGATGGTACCCCTAAGAGAGAAGGATGAATTATTCTCGCAACTAGAGATACTCCTTGTTACCTGCAGTTCTGGTCTGGAGACACTGGCTGTGTATCTGTTGATGAATGAAGGAGAGCAAGGGACTGGTCGCTGGCCCTGAGGCCATGGAGCACTGCCTGGCTCATGTCCACATTAGCTGGCATTGACCAGACCTGTCTGGTTGGAAGATATCAAGATAACTGAAAGGCAAGACCCAGGAGTGAACTTAGAAATAGCAGGCAGGAGAGCCCATGTTGCAGAGCTTGCTCCCTATCTCCCTTTCATTTAGGACCACAGATGTTCTCAGTGACTAAGATTTACTCTGTGCAACTTGAAACATCAGAGAAAGGTGCTTGTGGTAGGAGTGAGAGATGTCTAGGGTTTTGTATAGTCAATGGAGAAGGGGGAATCTCTCCAGAAAGTGACTGAGCCCATCTGAAACATGAATAGGTAGCTTAAGATAACTGTCTCCCAGAGCAGGAGAGATGAATCTGGGCCACTGGGAGAAGGGATCGTAATTACTGCACTGTTTCTGTCCTACAGCAAGACTGCTGCGATAGCGGGTACTGCAAGGGCCCAGGGCTCTGTCTGCAGTGCCTCATACTCAGAGAGTTGCCATGTTGACTTACATTCCTCATCTTTTTTGCCTTTTTTCCCTAGTTGCTTTGTCACTCAGAATTAGAGGATCTGTACTCCAGATCCACTTTTCTCTAATAAGATGGTCAGTCTCTAGTGCTCTGTCCCTCTGGGACAATAAGTAATCTTGGCTTTCCTTGCAATTATTATTTTACATTTAAAAACCATTTGCTGTACTGGATTTGTTGTCTCCCATTTGCAAAACTGAAGAGATTTCTCCATGCTCCCTAATATAATTCAGGATGTAAATCATAAGATTGGTTAATTTTATGTAAGCCCTGCTTAGATGCAGATTTACGCGTAATCAATTTAAAGTCTTTTAATTATACCTTGTTTCAGTGCAATGGTGACTCTTACTTTGTAATAAAAATTTCCTAGTGTCAAATACTTAATAAGTAATTTCCTATTTTAGTTTTGCTCGGACTGATTTACTTTACTTTTGTCCAGCTTGAATAAAATCCAAGATAAGAGTCTGCACACAAGACTTAAGTGAAATAATATATATTGAAATTGTTGTGTTATTTCCATGTGCATTTCTGTGTAAACCAGCATTTACTTTTCATATTCCTCAATAGTTGAATACATGGGTTAAGCATCACAAGAAAAGTCTACATTGCCTTCATCATAACAAATATAAATAATTCCTTTTATAATTCTTGGTGTCGCATTAGATCATTTTTAAAACCTCCTTTTATTATTTCTTTTCAAGTCTCTTCCATGTATCAATTTCTGAGCAGAAAATAATATGTCAAAATTGTTAAGAAAAATCTCACAGGTGGTATGAAGATTTGTAGACAAAGACGTTATGAGGAAAATAAAATTATACTTGTTTTTCATCAGGGAATATTTACATCTCTCTGTATCTTGATTAGGTGCTGCTTTGTCTCTGAAATGTCAGGCCCGCCTGGGGATTAAGAAACAGCCGCTGGCTGTTGTCACATGGGATGTGGATAACATCCCTGTGAAATACTTAGATTTTTCAAGATTTCATGAAAAGATGCATTTGTAAGTACATAAAACACAGAGTAATATTTCTTCTATGCAAACTGTTCCCAGCCATTAAAGCCAATGGTATCTGCTCTTTCTTTCTCTGTTAGTTTTGAAAGACATGAGCAAGTATATTACAGAGAGACCACTTTGCACATTACTGAAATAAAAAAGGAGGATCTGCAGGCAAATTTCACATGTGTAGCAGTGAACGAAATGCACAACACAAAGGCCACTGTGACATTGCAACTCAAAGCACAATGTGAGGGTAGGATTTTTTTATTTTGTTTTCTTACACTTTGCACTCAGTTTGAAACATGTTGGTGATTTTATTATTTGTCTCTGTTAGTAAGAAAGTTTCTGCCAGTAAGAAGAAAAACCAGCCCGCTTCCTCCCTATATATCCAAGCCAGTGGCAAAATTGTTGTGGTTTCATTAGGTCATGAAAGTCCTTGGGGTAAATGGTGCTGGGAGGAGGGCATTACTCAAATGGTATCAGCGAGAGATAAAATATGCAGAACAGGACAGTGTATCAGCCCTGTGATAAGAACATCCTGTTTCTAGGATATTTCTGCTCGGGTGACTAATTGTCCTTGCCCTGAAGGCAGGCAGTGCACTCGGATTTGAAGCACACTGGTATAGTGCATTCTGCTCTACAAAACACTCAGTCTGCAGAGGATCCTCTGCAGATGAGAGCTGGGCAAGGAACTGACCTCTCCTTTGGTCTTCAGTGTCACTATGCATTGTGAGGAGCAGAGACTCATCTTCTTTCAAGAATCAAACTGTTGTTTCTAGTGTGGAACCAAGGAAGAAAATAGGCAAACTTTAAAACCAAGAGTTTCAGCTGCCAGTCTGCCAATTTGCTTGCCTCCCTTCCCATACCACATCCACTCTAGTGCCTTGTTTTTTGACTGAATGTTAAGTGGCGTGACTAACTTTTGTGATGTCTAGCTTTATCCTCTCTCCCTCCAAGTGCCACTGTGTTCACTGTGTCCCCACACAGAAGGGTGAACAACACTTTGAAGTCTTTCCCTTGGTTTCATTTTTCAATTTATGGTTCCAGTAATTTCTGCCAGAGAAGGCAAATCCAGGGCAGTAAATGGTGGGGACTGCAGTGATCTTTAGCTCCTGTGGGAATTTTGTTCTAACACGGGTAGCCGGATCCCTGAGAACTGTTGACAGCACCACTGAGTTAGATTCATAAGAAAATGCTATTGTGTCTGTGAAGGCACGACAAGAGGCTTTGATTAATGGTTTCCTTTCTTATCCCTTCAGATATGCTGAACCACTAAGGATTTTTAGAAGAGATCCCAAGACTTTTGACAGGGATTAGTTTTGTATAAGAGAGTGGTGAGAAGAGTAAAATCAAGTGTATTGTGATCACAGGTTGTGCACAGATCCATGTCCTGCAGTATTCCTGATCGTTCATAACTTCCTACAGGATCATGGCTTCAAATCACAGACATATTTCCTTGCCGTAGCCTAGACTAGAAGGGATGTAGGTAAATTATAACAGGGAATGGGGCATCATCCAGCAGGACGGCACTGAGAAGCTGGCAGGATATGTTTGGGTTGGATATTGCTAAGTGAGTGCGAGCATAGCATCACTCAGGTAGGCGGAAGCGCATCAGCTCTGCACTGAAGCATCTTAGTGTGGGAGCATACTTGCAATGAGAGGGAAGGGAACTGATTAGCAGTTCCTGCTCAGTCTAGTTCAGGCAATACAAGTTTTTTATTGGTCCTGTATTACAGACTAGATGAAGGAAAGGGTATATTTTATACTCTGTATTCATCAAGTGATTCATTGAATCTAATTTCTGTTGTAGACAAATCTTACTTTGTTTTTTATCCATAGGTCTTCAGTAAATGTTCATGAAAGCTCTTGACTGTGACCCCCCTTTGCTGCTGCCTGTTTTATGTGGATGTCTGTCCCCTTCTCCTTGTTGTTGCTGCTGTCAAGACGCCTGCTTCTGCTCCTCAGCACTGTTGGTGTAAACAATGCTACGTCCTGAAATGGTTGTGCTCTGCTTTAGTTTTCTTCGCTCACTCCTTCACAGCTGAGCAACATTTATGAAAAAATAATGAGAGCTTGCCTCTGAGTATAATAAAAATGCTGTAAGATTGCTTGTGCCTCTCATCTTGTCAATGTCTAATAAAAACGTGTACTCTCCTTTTTTGTATTTTGTTTGGTTTTTTGTTTTTAATAGGAAAAAACAGTTGTGTAGTGGTTTTTTTTTTTTAATTTTATGGTTATTCTTTAGTGTTACCTACTGCACAGCTTGTGTCCGCTAGCTACTATCTTGTTGATGTTCTTTTTACACAAGTTTCTGTATTGCAATTTTTTTTTCCAGGGCATTCACTATGGGTTACATTACTATTATTTGTAGCACAGATCTGTGATCGGAAGTAAGAGAAGAACAGGTGTTGTGTCACTTACTACTGAAATTAGTCTATTTTGGGGGCATATAATGAACTAGATAAATAGTGTTCAGCAGCTCAGGTGACAGATTAAGGGAGGAAGCTATAAGGAATTGGTATAAGCAATAGTGTTAGAGCTCCTCTGCGTAAGTAACTGTTCAGATTTACAGCAATAGTCTCTGTCTTCTAAAACCTGCTGAAAGAACGATTTCACTCACCATATGGAAATTTTCTGTGGGAACCATGAATTAAATCTACTTTTCTAAGTCATAATCAAATGCTTTAAGTCCTAGCTCACAGTTAGCAATATTCTTATAATGAACCCTAAAAATTTGCTTTGATAACAAGTGTAACACACACAAGAATAAAAAATTGCCAGAGAGGAGTGATAAGAAAAGGAGAAGTTTCTTTCACAGTCCAGAGTGGTGAGAGCTGTTTGGTTTTGTTCTCCGTGGAAAACAAAAAAAAACCCTTAATACTGCCAGGAACGGATGTCATTGGCAAAGCTGCTTGACGTTTCACAGGGAAAGAAGTGAATTTTCCCATTTAGGATATGTGCTGTGCACACATGTATGTATTCACTTACATGTGTGAAGAAAAGTGCTGTTTTGTAAAACAGAGTCTGTCTCGCATGTCTTTTCATTTATCTTTTTAAACAGGAAAAAAATGCTGCTAAGAGAAGCTGATCAGCTCTTTAGAAATGAGCTACATGACCTAAGTACCTCAGTTATCAGGAGTAACGCAACGCAGTCAGCTCCTTTCGGTGTGATTAGGTGGTATCCAGACTATGCACACTATGTCTTTTAGACACAGAGAAATCAGGCAAATTCTTTCTTTGTTTTAACAGAAGAATTCAATGGGAATCTGGCTATGAATTTTGACAGTCTCTGCAGCTATGTTCTTGCCTCCATTAGGAGGTGCCAATGTTTCTTCATCTTTCAGCTGCTGCTGCTGCTATATTCATAGATTGCTTCTGCTGCTGAGGAAGATCTTTCTCCATTTTTTTTCTTATCCACCCCCTGTCTAGACTTCGATCAGCCCCACTCAATATGGAACCCATCCTTCCACATTATTTCCCATCCTTTCTCTTCCCTCTTTGCTTGAAGGTGTTTGGTATCTTCTGACACCTTCAACAACACTTATTCATAAAGACATTCTTCATGTCTCATAACACCTCTTTACAGAAAATATAAGCTGTCTCATTTCCTTCAGATCTTTCAGTCCTGTATCTCCCTTTTTAATTCCAGCGTTGGTGATCATCCCAGATTTCACATTCCCGCTCTGCCGCAAGACACATCCTCTCATGTACTCTGAGATCATCTGCATAGCAAGTTGTGTGGTGTGCCTCTGGTCGCTGTAAGGCTAAGGAGTTTGCAACAATTTTTAATTTCATTTTCTTCCTCTTTTCATAACAAAGATGTAGCTAGTCTTGCTGGACATCTGTCAGGAGACAGCGACTCTGCCTGCTAAACTACTCCCAGCTGCTCCGCCACAACTGCTTGGTATCTCTCATACTGGAAGATACCACCTCTCAAGAACAGGTATAATCGGCTGCACTGTTCACACCAGTTCAGCTCATTGATGACTGCAGTGAATCAATGCTCATAAAAGTAGCTCTGCTGGCAGAAGGAGGGAAGCTGTTAGCTCCTGAGACAGAGGCAATGACAAGTAACTGGAGAAACACTGAAAATGTTAAACTCTTCCACAAGTAGAGCTGGTTTGGGACAGGAACATCCCTTCAGCCTCTCCTTTAACCTGTCTGCTAGGGATTACATGGGATGTCCAACTACCTTCCAAGTCCTTCCATTTTTATTAATATATAAGCTGCCACTGGCTTTTAGTTCCTCATTGAGTCAGGGCTCGTTAAAAAAATGGAGGTGGCTTTTCATATGTCTGACCCACAAGCATCATTTTATTTCTCCCTGAGCATTCCTCAATTCTCATTCACAAGAAAGTGTAAAACGCCCAGAGGACCACAAATCTTTCTGGCATGAACTCTCTTCTCTGGAGAATGACAGAGATTCCAGTCATTCAGAGCAGAGATAAATTTCAGCCCAGAACATTAGCTCTGTTCTTCCTCAAATATATTTAACACTGAACCTAACCTTTTGTCTCATCTTTGGTAGAAGGATGTGGACAGGAATTCCAGACTGTCGTGTTTTAGCCCAGCTGGCAGCTAAGTTAGCACAAAGCTGCTTGCTTACTCCCCCACCACCCCCGGTGGGCTGGAGAGAGGAAAAATGTAACAAAAGGCCTGAAGGTCAAAATAAGAACAGGGAGGGATCACCCACCAGCCATGACCCTGGACAAAACAGACTCAGCTTGGGAACAGATCAAATTCATTTGTTACCAAGCACATCAGAGAGAAAAATGAGAAACAAACCCAGATCTTAAAAACGCCTTCGTCCCGCTGCTCCTTTCTTCCCGGCTCTACCTCCTCCTCTGCAGCAGCGCAGAAGGATGGGGAATGGGGTTTGTGGTCAGTTCATCACATGCTGTTTCTGTTGCTCCTTCTTCCTCAGGTGAAGGATTCCTCACACCCTTCCTCTGCTCCAAGGTTTCACCCCTCCTCACGGGAGACAGTTCTCCATGAACTTCTCCAATGTGAGTGCTTCCCCCAGGGTGCAATACTTACCCATCGGATTGCTCCAGCACAGGTTTTGCTCATGGAGTCACGGCTTCTTAGAGTGCAGCCACCTGCTCTGGCGTGGAGTCCCTTCCTACAGACTGCAAATGCATCTCTGCTCCACTGTCTCTCTCCAGCAGCATGGAGTTCTTTCCCATGGAGACAGGCCTCTACAAACTCCTTTAGGTGCAGGCATCTCTGCTGTAGAGTAGGGTCTTG